TTTAAGCAACTTTCGTATAGAGGATGGAAAAGGGGCATCCGAACACTACAGATGATTTGGAGCTGGTACCAGTACCGGTCACACATGGACGCGGTGCACGGACTGTCCGACCCAACCCCAACCCCAGCACGAATCTCAACGCGACGCCCCCCCGCCCCGACGCGGCGAAGCAAATCCTCTTCCTCCTCACTAGTAGCATACCCGTGCTAACGCTACGGTGACAACTAATATTGCAAATGAAACAACCAAATAACAGCGACACAATATATGCTTCATCAATGGTACATAGAACAGATAGTTAGGCTAAAAGAGCGATAGAGTTATTAGAAAAAAATTAATCAGCATGTATCCACAATACCATCTAGGAACAAGCCGTCCCTTGCTATGCTATAAAGTACAGGTATTGCTCCTCTCAAATACACAAAATAATAAATATCTAAAATTAGCTTGACTTAAGCCATCCATTCCGCTTGATGTGGTCCTGATTATCTGGACAAGGCTACAAAACAACCAAAATGTATATTATCACTGTAGTTATTTGTATTTACACAAAAAAGAATATTGGTCATTTCATAACTTGAAGATAAACTTCTGTGATAAGCAAGGTGGACTCTCTTGGATGACTAACGAATGAACCTCTGAACTAAAATTGACGCTCATTTAATACATTCGTAATCAAAGTCAGTTGATCGGTGTTTTCATCTATGTGTAGAAATAAACAACGGGAAACAGCCGATATAGCTAAATTTTGCCCAAAAAATTACATGTCTTGTCATTTCACTTACAATTATATGCACATATATGACTAAAGTTTCTGCATTTATATTGTAATTTATGAACCAATGAATCACTAAATATGGAGGACTTATGTGGAATATGCAAATAAACAAAGAGAAACCATTTGTGTGCACGTGGAACCCGCGTCACAAGGGGTAAAATTACAATGTTGTATATTTTATACATTTTACATTTTTAAAATGTGGTTAATGATCAAACTATCATGACTCTCCAATGTCTCAAATCAAAGCTGCAGCTATATATATACAAAACACATTGTGGTTTGAGGCACTTTTCTGTTGCACTGGAAAATATATACCAATCAAAGCAGAATACTGTAAAATAAGAAGTAACTCTTTCTAGTCTATAATAAAACCTTCACTTTTGAAACCTACTACAGACTCATACTTGAGTCTAGTTGAAGGTTCAGGCGTTCAGCTATCTTGAAAATAAACAATCTGAAGTGAGTTCATCAGATGCTTTTTCACTGTGCCATACAACATATCTCGGAGAGCTAAGGGGACTGAAATATACCTTACATTTCAAAAAATCAACATCTTCAGAAGATATGTTAGCATTGGAGTTATCAGTAACCATGGAGCACTCCACATAAAGCCTAGACTTGTCTGCGTTTTTATGTGGAGGTAATCAATCCTTGTCTGATCAGCGAAAGAAATTATTAATTAGGCCATGCTGCAGAAAATGATTTAAAGATGCTTATGCCAAACAGGAAAGCAAAGATAGCAAGCAGATAAAATTCCATATACTCTACCTTGAATATCAACATCACTGCCCTTTGAACTGGTCAAACTCTAATACTGATTGTTCAGTATATCTCGGTAATCTATAATAGATGCAAGGGCACAAAACTCGGTAAGAGTGAAAAAGGCATTATATTAGTTAGCACTAACCTCCAGGCTTTCCAATATTGACAAGATTAACATAGAAGCATGAATATGGTCTTGTATAACACGCTTTCTTTAATTTGTCATATTCCTTTTTCATATAAGGATTTTTCTATGACTTGAGGAAGTAAATAACAATACAATTAATTCTTGAACATGCAAAACAGTATGAAGCAAAATACAGTCTACATATGGAATTTTGCACATTTTATCATGAAAATAATTTCTCACTGTAGTTTATCTTATCAAAAGAAGTAACACAGAGCATGAGAGATGCACCGCTAATTGTGCCTCCTGCAAGGAAGAAAGTTAGTAGAGCTAATCGTTTGATAGTAGTGTTAGTTCCAAAGGCTACTGCAAGAAAGAGAGAAGCAGATTACTCTTATCTTTTAGAGAATTTTATTACTATGTATGTAATTCTATACTAAGTAATTCTGCAATATTTTTCATGCACAAATCCTCCTTCACTTCAGTCTCTCATATACTCAATCCTGAAACAAGGAGGGCAAAGATGGCTACCTCCACAATCACTCTGAAAGCTTTCAAAAATTTGATGAAGCTACTTTGAAACTTCAGTCTGAAGACCTGAAACACCAAAAACAATTGATAGTTTGACTCCGAATTGATTTGTGAAACTATTCTAAACTCAATTGCGTAAATTACTAAATTGGATCAAATACATGATTGGTTACAGGGCATTGAGTAAAACTACTGAAACATTTGCAAACTCAAAATTGTAATCATAAAACCTAAACAGATGCATAAACCATTCAGTAAAGAACGCAAGGCAAGCTTAATTAACCTTTGCCCGTGCTGTCGCAGTAATTTGTTGCATGCCCAGTATTGATCCAGTCCAAACCATTTCTCCATGTACTCATCTAGGCTTGCATGCTCTGTGGCAACCGGAATTCACTAATAAACTGGTAAGTTGTTCCTTTAGAGTTTAGACAATACATCGAAAGTGCTTGCACATTACTAATGCACGACATTTTACATATTTAGGTGTCATGAATAAAAATGTAAACCAAATTTGACTTTTTAAAGGGAAAAATTGTCACTGCATGCACAAATCAGAACTTTCCGTGTGTGTGCAAGCATGCCATTCATTAATATATGCAAAGACAAACTTAAACGACACAAGGTAAACTACAGTATGAATACAAGTGGTTCAATAGAGCACAATTCCAGAATTGAGGTATATAACCTTCGGTACACATCACAGAATAATGTATACAACGGAAAGTAAAAGAAGCTCTCAATATTGGCATCATGATTTAGATAATTAAATTCTTCTTTTTAATTTGGATGTCAATTTGGATGGTGATCTCTAAAGAGAGCACACAACATGTGTATCAATTTAATTGGTTTCCTGGGCTATGTTGCTGACCAAGCAATTAATGAAGTTCAAAAGAAATTATCTGAATTTTCAGATATAAACATCCCAATAATAACTTACCTTGTTGCAGTGCGAGGCCGATGCCGGGGTTGAGAAATCCGACCGCGGGGACTTGGAATGTCGGACTCACACACGGCCGGAGGAAGGGGCTGGTGCCGGGATCGACCGCGAAAATCGGGCGGCAACACTTAGGCCAGATCGGAGCAAGGAGGGAGGAGCGCCAAAAATCAAATGGAAGACATCAAACCCAAAAATCGGTTGTGATCTGTCGACGAATCTGGCTTGTCGGTCCTTACTGATCTGTCTCTTGATTCCAATCCCCATCTCTCTAATTCTTTTTGTTCGCTCTAATTCTTTTTGTTCGTCCTTTGAGCAATAGGGATTTGGTGGAGAGTGCGTTGGTGACGGCCGCAAGAGGAATGCAGTAGGGGGAGGAGGAGCGACGGCGACGATGTGAAGGCAGTACGGCGAGGAGGAGGGGATGGAGGCGCCGGAGAGGCAGTGCGATGATTAGGGTTTGCTCGGGGGAGTACGTGGGGGAGGCACGCCGGTTGGGCGAAGGAGGGAGCGAGCGGGCGAGGCGGCGAGGGGAGCGGGTTTTGGGGAGAGAACACGCACGCGGGGGAGGAGGAGTGATCTGGACCGTTAGATGATCGGGAGATATTCTGGTCCGTTGGATTTGATGAATGAGTAACGTAGGTGTAAGAGTGAGTTGGTGAATTATAGGGTAGATAGATAGATAGATTAGAAGATCACACAACACAAACGACTGACTACTCCTACCGCGACGGCTTCCAACTTCCCCCAATTTTTTTCTCCTCTTTTTTTTTGGAAAAAGTACGAATTACCCCCCTGAACTTGTGCGGTCGATCGAATTACACCCGCGAACCCGAAAACCAGACATTGTTCACCCCGAACTTTTAATACCGGACGAATTACCCCCTCGATCCAATCCAGAACGATTTTGTCCTACGTGGCGTACACGTGGCAATCCAGCAGCATTTTCTTTTTTTTTAATTGTGGGACCCACATGTCATACGGATTCCCTCATCCTCTCTCTCTTCACTCTCTCTCTCTCACACAGCGCGGTGGCAGGAGGTGGGCGGCGGCGCGACCGGCAACGGCGGGCGCGACAGGCGCGGTTGGCGGCGAGGAAGTCGGCGCGGCGGCGGGCGGTGTGCTCGTCGGCGTGGGGGTGGCGGAGGTCGCGATGGCGGAGGAGGGGATGATGAAGACGGCGGCGGCGGAGGTGGGCCACTGCTCGGCCGCCCCCACCTCCTGCCACTGCCCTTTGAGAGAGAGAGAGAGAGTGAAGAGAGAGAGTAAGAGGGGCTTCGTATGACATGTGGGTCCCACTTTTTTTAAAAAAAAAAAGAAAATGCTGACTGGATTGCTACGTGTACGCCACGTAGGACAAAACCGCTCTGGATTGGATCGAGGGGGTAATTCGTCCGGTATTGAAAGTTTGGGATGAAAAATGTCTGGTTTTCGGGTTCGGGGGTGTAATTCGGTCGACCGCAAAAGTTCAGGGGGTAATTCATACTTTTTCCTTTTTTCTTTCCTTTCCTTCGCCGCAAAGCACTCCAACGCCGCCGCCCCGATCTCTTCCCTCCGGCGGCCGCCATGTCATCGGCGGCGAACGAATTACTTGTTCAGACCGAAGAGATGCTGCAGAAGGAGGCGAAATGGATGGCTTAAGTCAAGCTAATTTTAGATATTTATTATTTTGTGTATTTGAGAGGAGCAATACCTGTACTTTATTATAGCATAGCAAGGGACGGCTTGTTCTTAGATGATATTGTGGATGCATGTTGATTAATTTTTTTCTAATAACTCTATCGCTCTTTTCCTAACTATCTGTTCTATGTACCATTGATGAAGCATATATTGTGTCGCTGTCATTTGGTTGTTTCATTTGTAATATTAGTTGTCACCGTAGCGTTAGCACGGGCATACTCCTAGTGAGGAGGAAGAGGATTTGCTTCGCCGCGTCACCGGGGGAGGTGTCACGTTGAGATTCCTGCTGGGGCTGGGGTTGGGTTGAGATTCCCCAGGCGCCCGCGGCGGCCTCGATCTGGGCGGCGCAGATCAGAGGACGGCGCGGATCGGCGAGCTTCGCACTGGGCACGTGTGCCTGTGTGTGGGAGTCAGGCCTCGCAGCCGCCGCTGCTGCTGCTGCTGCTGCTGCACCTGTCAGCTAGGGCGGGCATGGCGCGCCGCGCCGCTTCCCGCGCTGTTGGCTCGGAGGGCTCGATCCAAGGGCGAGGGGGCCGCGCGGGGGGCAATGGCGCCGAGGACGCACGCCACGTGTTCGACGAATTGCTTCGGCGTGGCAAGGGCGCCACGATCTACGGCTTGAACCGCGCCCTCGACGACGTCGCGCGTCACAGCCCCGCGGCCGCCGTGTCCCGCTACAACCGCATGGCCCGAGCCGGCGCCGACGAGGTAACTCCCAACTTGTACACCTACAGCGTTCTCATCGGTTGCTGCTGCCGGGCGGGCCGCTTGGACCTCGGTTTCGCGGCCTTGGGCAATGTCATTAAGAAGGGATTTAGAGTGGAAGCCATCACCTTCACTCCTCTGCTCAAGGGCCTCTGTGCCGACAAGAGGACGAGCGACGCAATGGACATAGTGCTCTGCAGAATGACCCAGCTCGGCTGCATACCAAATGTCTTCTCCTGCACCATTCTTCTCAAGGGTCTGTGTGATGAGAACAGAAGCCAAGAAGCTCTCGAGCTGCTCCAAATGATGCCTGATGATGGAGGTGACTGCCCACCTGATGTGGTGTTGTACAACACCGTCATCAATGGCTTCTTCAAAGAGGGGGATCCGGACAAAGCTTACGCTACATACCATGAAATGTTTGACCAGGGGATTTTGCCAGATGTTGTGACTTACAGCTCTATTATCGCTGCCTTATGCAAGGCTCAAGCTATGGACAAGGCCATGGAGGTACTTAACACCATGGTTAAGAATGGTGTCATGCCTAATTGCAGGACATATAATAGTATTGTGCACGGATATTGCTCTTCAGGGCAGTTGACAGAGGCTATTGGATTTCTCAAAATGATGTGCAGTGATGGTGTCGAACCAGATGTTGTTACTTGTAACTTGCTGATGGATTATCTTTGCAAGAACAGAAGATGCACGGAAGCTAGAAAGATTTTCAATTCTATGACCAAGTGTGGCCTAAAGCCTGATATTACTACCTATTGTACCCTGCTTCAGGGGTATGCTACCAAAGGAGCCCTTGTTGAGATGCATGATCTCCTGGATTTGATGGTATGGAACGGTATCCAACCTAATCATCATGTATTCAACATTCTAATATGTGCATACGCTAAACAAGAAAAAGTAGATGAGGCGATGCTTGTATTCAGCAAAATGAGGCAGCAAGGATTGAGTCCGAATGCAGTGAACTACAGAACAGTCATAGATGTACTCTGCAAGCTAGGCAGAGTATACGATGCAGTGCTTACCTTAAAGCAGATGATCAATGAAGGACTAACCCCTGACATCATTGTATATACCCCCCTAATTCATGGTTTTTGTACCTGTGACAAATGGGAGAAGGCTGAGGAGTTAATTTTTTAAATGTTGGATCAAGGCATCTGTCCAGACACCATTTTCTTTAGTAGAATAATTTATAATTTTTGCAAAGAAGGGAGAGTTATAGAATCTGAAAAACTCTTTGACTTGATGGCACATACTGGTGTTAAGCCTGATGTCATTACATACAATGCACTCATCAGTGGATATTGCCTAGCCGGTGTTGACGTAAAACACGAGGCCTGGGAGATCTGCTTAACTCCAGTGCAGGTCCAAAACTCGCCTTCGGGTATGCTTAGCGTGCCAATTGATTTGATCCTGCAATCAACAAGAAACAAAGACAAAGAAACCGCGGTTAAATCCATAAACGATAGACGATCGGCTAGGTGCCGATGACATATCATTTATCTTTGAGCCGATGTCATATGTGCATCGATCGGCAGTCATTAATAAATAAGAAGGGACTAAATCTATTCGATCGGCTGTAGATATTAACAATATATAGTCCTTATATCGATATATACTTAAATCAAGTGATTGGGATAGATCGGACTCCATGCCGAGACAGTATGAATCACTTAGATCGAAATATATATTAATAATGAGATTATATACGTTCATAGCATAGCCGATCAGATGGATCTAGCATGTATCGGTTGATACTCCGATACTACTCTATATTAAGATATTAAAGCAAGTAGAATATACTAAACAAAAGCCTAATATACTTAAATGCAGCAATATCTTAATATAAAGGGCAGATTTAACATGTCAATCGAGCATATAGGATAAAAGTAGTTAAATCAGGTAAGATCGGCTGAAACCCCGATACTACCCTAATCGGCAACCAAAGACAGACTAGAGATTGAGATTCTAATTACGACTCATAAGATCAAACTCAACTGATGCAGCTATAAGTATGAAAAGAAGGATAATATCTAGACAATCAAGCCGTTGGATATGTCATAGAGTGGTGGATATCCTATATAATCTAAGTCAACGTCGGTATTTAACCTAATCGGCTGCCTTCTAGTAACAGACGTTAGCCGATTAGAGGTTAGATAACGATATTGCCAAAGATTATGTAAGATATATGATAACTCGACGAATTACATAAACAAGATTAGAGTGTCATAAAGATGGAAGCACTAATCCCGAGAACGCAAGCCGCCATAACAAGTTTTACCTCTTGTTAAAGATCGAAACCGATGCAGCTCAACCCGAAAGCAAGAACTCGTCGAAATAAAACTAAAGCAAAAAAGGGTGGCGATGCGCTGAGATTGTTATTGAACGTGTGTTATCGATTACATAGGGTTCGGGTCTATTTATACCCGAGAATTACAAGATATGTCCATACCGGACACGACTCTTATCCCTAACAAACTCTAAGATACCATAAGTCTTTGCGGCAGACTTTTGCCCAAGCATATCTCTAAGGAAATTATATAAAATATCCTAATTAATAGATACAATTACCTTCCCAGGACTCTATCCATGCACGGCAATCATCGTGAAGCATATCAACTCAACCCGATGTTGTACACCAAGTCATATTGTCGGAATCGGCTGTATCGGCTTACCCAGTCTGACTCGGACCCAGCTGATCCTGATCGTAGCCGATTCGGACTCCAGCCGATTTTTGCTCGGTTCTCGAATCGATCTCCGCCTCCGTCTCCACTTCAACCTAATCCCCTTTTCCGATACTGATATTACCAAATTTTGTCGTTAACAGCCGGTAAGATGGATGAAGCAATGAAATTACTCCCTGGCATGGTCTCAGTTGGGGTGGAACCTAATTGTGTTACTTACCACAGTTTGATTAATGGATATTGTAAAGGTAGTAGGATGGAGGACGCGTTGGTTCTTTTCATAGAGATGGTGAGCAATGGTGTTATTCCTGATATTATCACGTACAACACAATTCTGCATGGTTTGTTTCAGACAGGGAGAATAGCTGCTGCGAAAGAGCTCTACGTCAGGATTGTTAAAAGAGGAATAGAGACTGAACTTAGCACGTGCAACATAATCCGTCAAGGACTTTGCAAAAACAATCTCACTGATGATGCACTTCGCTTGTTTCAGTAGCTATGTTTGTTGGAGTTGCAGCTTGAAACTAGGACCTTTAACATTACGATTGGTGCGTTGCTTGAAGTTGGCAGAAAGGATGAAGCCAAGGATTTGTTTGCTTCTCTCTCAGCTAATGGTTTAGTGCCAGATGATTGGATGTACAAGTAAATGGAAGTGTTATAGAACAGGGGTTGCTAGGAAAAATGGATAAATGCTACAGTTAGGAAGCTACTTCACAAAGGGCAGGTAGGCAGGGCTGGGGTTTACCTATCCTAAAGTGATCATATTGGTCTTTTATTGATTATGTTGATATTGTGTGTTTACACTACTTCAAGTCTCAGCCCTATATTATGATAGGTTAGGGGTCTTTTTTTGGTATTGTATTATCTTGCTGATAATCATGTCGGTGACTTCTGTTTACGTTTAAAATCTCATGCTTTAAATTATGATTGTTCTACATATGGTCCTACTCTGCATACTAGGAAATATAAAATATTCATGTTTTTATATTTGAATTTAGTCTTCTTGCGGGCAGTTCTCTTTCTTCCTTTTCACGGAACTATCTCCTGATGAAGTGCAACCCTGATTATTTTTACTGCATTTTGCTGGCAATTAAATTAGTTTACAAGGGCTTGTCCATTTATCTTCTCAGTAGATGTGATGTGCAGAAAACATGACAGCATCTTTTGTTTGCCTCTATAGGCCAATGTTTTTTGGTGCATGGTCTTTGACCTACAGATTATAGCTGTAAATCTTATATAGAAGGGTTGTTGCAATGATTCTGATTAACTGATTGTATCTATGAAGTTGAATGCTAGTGGAAGCTCCTTTGGCCATGTTATATTTTGTGTCTGCAAAGAACAGATCATTTCTTTCTTTTTAAAAAAATTGTGTTAAATGCACTGTTGAAGAATGCCTAACAATTTCTCTCGGCAGAGAGTGAAGGGAATGTTTATTTGGTACTGTTCTAGATCTACAGATAAAATTCTTATTCTACTGTTTCTTTGCTTGAAATTTTCATGCAGTGGATATCCAGTTGACCTGTTGCATTGATGGAGAAAGGAATCAATCAGCTCTGAATTGCCTGTAACTTCTGCAGTTCCTGTGTGAAGTGATCTATGTATGTCCGCGGTTTGAGAAGACGCATCATGTTCTTTCCGTGTGGAAGGTTTGCCACAGCGACGAGATCTGGATGTATATGATTTCAGAACACTTATGTTAGTTGTTTTGAGTTTTCTAGCTCAATTTGATGCATCGTTTTGGTCTGCTCCCTTGTACATCGATGCAGAGCAGAAGAAGCGGCCTGAAGACTTCTTTTTTTTTTTTAAGACTTTGAAGCGGCTTGAAGACTGATTTCCCTGAAAGCACTGGGAATGACAGATTGATTCGGTGCATTGCACTTGACCTTTTCTCTTTCAATTTACTGCTGGTGATTGTTGTCACTATTTAACTTGTACTCCTGATGTTCTAGACCATTTATATTATGTATGTGTTTATTTATAGATGATGTAAATATCAGCGCAAATGGGGCATGTGATTTACTTATATTTGGGGACTGGGGTAGTATTCAGCGTTGAACCAGCTGCTAGCGTACTCGTTGTCAGAGAATCAATACAGGTTCAGTTTGATGGGAAAATGAGTTTCCCTGATAATGCTAAGTAATTGTTATGGCATAATCACTCAGTTGGGGGCTTGCAGCCTCTGTCCAACTGCATAAGCTTCCAGTTCCACCGCTTCACTGCTAATAGCATTTTGGGCTGCGCTCCGTTACCACTTTCGACCTTACCAAATTTTAATAGGGTCTCCAACTAAATTTGTACTTTCAACATCTTTACCCTACCAAAATTTAGATGTTCCGGAAGTTTCCTCTCAGAAACACTACCAGATTTCAGAGAGATTCCAAATTAACTAGCATATTCAATGCCACCAACATTGGGTAACACCAAGATTTGGTATTGCCCAATGTTGGTAAGGTTGATGTTGGAAATAAAGTGAACAAACCCTTTTTATTTTACTACTGTCACCGTTTTGAGCTTCCTGTTAAACCCATGTCTTCTTTCTTTTTTTACTCCAGTCTGATCCATGAAGGACTACAAGTAATCAAGTCACAAGTCTGAATCCATGAACAAAAGGAGAGACAACATTGGGCAGTACAGCTTTTGCCGCTAAAATCAACTAGATAGTCGATAAACACAATATGAAAGTTATGCCGCTCACTACAGTTAGGTGGCATCTATGTACCGTTCTAGCAACTATGGCAACCGATCCGCAATTTTCTGCAGTTGAACTGAAGAACAAACTCAGCTGTGCAGTGACCCCCCTGTTGCGAATGTCCTCCAGCTTACTAAAAATAATGGGCCATGCGAGAGGACTGGGGCGCCTGCCTGCTGTTGCTGCTTGCGCCGATGAAGCCTTGCAGAAGGCTCTGTGCGGCTTTCACTTGATCCGGAATGCCCTGGATCTCCACAATGGACTCGGAAGAACCGGGATGGGCTTCGTGCAACTTCACTCTCGCGCCAGAGATCTGGGATCAAGGGGAGATTTTCATGAGGAAAACTATTGGAGGCCATTGGGGCATGGTTAAGACTGGGCATAGTGCGTGATGTTTCGCATACGCTATACCTGACGGATCTCAGCTAGATTGACACCACCAGCTCCAATGACAGATTCCAGATAACTATTTGGAATCCGAAATTCGACGGAGCCACCTGGATACCTGCAAAGAGATCATCACTCAATGATTATGAGGACAAAATTCACGTTTGTGTCCTGTAAAAATTCAGTTTGCATAAGCCATACCCAGTGAGACCTGACAGTCTTCGGTAATCCTCACGTCCATGGATCTGCTCAGCGGCCTGAAAAGAATGAAATTCAAATCTATTAAGCACTGAAGAGAACAAAAATATACATTCAGATGCATCAGAGAGGCATCAGGTGAACCAGGAAACAAGGAAATAAAAAATGAGAAAAGATCAACACCCAACTAAGAAAACTGGTAAGCAACAGCAGCAGAGAACAGCTGAATAACTGAATCTAGGGTTTGCAACAACATCGTAACAATTGAATAGTGTTACCAATGATAGATATTAGAGTGGGCACAAGACAGAAGGATATATTTGGATCACCATGACATATTCTAGAATATTTTGGTCCTTTTTTCAGACATCTGAACCATCATGGAAGAAAATAGACATAATGCAACAGTCATATATATGGTTTCATGTTTCTAATGGAAACATATCAGGCGAGGGCCATTTGCAAAGAAGAGGCAAGCTAACGCATTGGAAATGTACCTCGGTATAATCATAAGCATTGGAATTTCCAGCTCTGGTGATTCCTAATTGTTGCACATTACTATTCCCAGCTCTCGAGAGGCCTAATTGTAGTGTACCCCTACTAGAGTACCTATCAGTAGGTACTTGGTCAAGATAAGAACGGCGGGACATATAATCGGCACCAGGACTAATAGATGAGGGCAGTTCTCTATTAGGCAAGCGAGTAGTTGCTGCATATCTGTCGTATGAAGCAGATGGTGTAACTTTGCTATTTCCACTAGGGTACTCTCTTTTAGAGAAGTACTCTACAGGATACGCAGTGTAAGGATCACGAGGCCCATCATTGTTCAACCCTCCATATGATGTATCATTGGCAGGTCTTCTATATGGTGGATCAATGGCTGGTCTTCCATATGGTGGATCAATGGCAGGTCTTCCATATGGTGGATCAATGGCAGGTCTTCCATATGGTGGATCATTAGGAGGCCCTCCATATGGGGGACTATTGGCAGATCGTCCATATAGCATGAATTCCCTGTTAGGCAAGATATCAACAGGAGGACCATCAAAAGGGGCAAAAGGTGTCGGATTATTGGAAGAACTTCCATCTCTGAGTGTCCTAGTTCTAAGCCTCGAAGCAATCTCTGTCAGGGCTCCTCTTGCAATAGCTGGAAGCCCAGCAACCTGAAAGCTTGGAACAAATGTAAAAGCACAATGAAATGTTAACAAGTAAAAACTGTAGTTATAAAGGTAATATATGGATCTCTGGTGTAGGTATGGCCAAATAAATTACCTGCACAAGCTCCTCATCAAAAGACAAGTACTTAGGTTTATCTGCTTTTGAGTAGACTCGGATTTCAGCCCCAGTCCGTCTTCTCATTTCAGTAATTACCTTTCCACCTTCCCCAATAATACAACCAACTTTGTTTGATGGTACAACAAGCCGTGTCGTCAAGTGGTGATTCTCAGCAAGTGTACTTACTTTACTATGGAGCAAAATAAGCGCCTCAATTGTTGGAGACACTGGATCATCTGGAATCTGGAAAGAAAATGTAGGAGGATATAATATTGTAAAGACTCATGATAAAAATGGTAAGGCAATGCCAATTGGAATAATCATCTGCATATTACCTCCTGAGATGAAACAACAATTAACCTTTCTTCAGAAGCATTTTTGCCAACTTCTTTAACCTGAACGCAAGCACCTGTCTGCTGTTCGACTTGCCGAACATTGCCACCACTTTTCCCAATAACTTGACCAATGTGTTCAGAAGCACACAGAATTTTAATAGAGAACTCTTCAGCTTCAGCAGAATGATACTGCAGTGGCCTGTTTCTATATGGATCAAGCAAGGGTATTTGTGGTGAGTGATCCACATGCAGGTGTGGCAACATTGGATTTGCATGTGGTAATTGTGGTGGAGCCTGATGCTTCCTTTGTGTGCTTGCATCTATAATTTCTTCCAGAGGTGGATTGTCTTTACGAGGATGTTGATGCAGACGAGTAGATATTTCATAGAGAGCTTTTCTTACAAGGGAAGAAGATCCAGATATCTGAAATAACATAAGCCCAAGTGACAGTGATTTCCAAAAACAACAAATTGACAAAGCAATCATACTTCCATTGATGCACATCATGGTATTACATTGCAATTTTGCAACATGAAATTACATATCATTAAGAAAAAAAGGCATATTGATAAAAAGTTAAGAGAGGTAAAAACTCCATGCCAGATCAAAAAGTTCCATTACTTAGTTCATTCAAGAGCTTAACAGGGCATATTGACAAGAAACTCAGATAGTAGTACAAGGATTGATATATGCCATACTGAGTGATTTGTTTTTCACGAGTAACGAATGAACACAAACCAAGTTAACTGATACCATTACTCAAGGACATTGGTATGAATGAAACTACGGATACAAAACAAGTTGGAACAAAAGATAACAAATAAGTTTTTTGAAGTTACCTGCACCAATTCATCACTTTTAAGTGCACACTGAGGAAGATTTTCAGATGGTAAGACACGGATCCCTGCTCCAGTGTCATTTCGTAGCTGTTGTATAATGGAGCCACCTTTTCCTAGAAGACAGCCAACTTGATTTCCTGGAACCAAAATTCGAGCAATTACATCATCAACATTTTCAGACTTTTCATGAACAATTCCAGCATGGAGATCTTCATCTGCTGCAATTTTGTCATGTATCTTCAACAGGGCATCTTGGGCAAAACAATGAGGCTTCATGTCCTCAAATCCATCAGTAGAAATATTTTGAGCAGCTTCTTCAGTCTGACTTGAGTAGTTAAAGATAATAATTACTCTCTCATCTGCACCAGGAATGGAATCAGCGACCCTTATCTTTGCTTTAGTTGTGTCTCTTAGTGCCTTAACAATATCACCGCCTCTTCCCAAGACACTGCCAATCTTTTTAACCGGACACAGTATCCTGTAAATGGTTTCTATTGGCTCAGAAGATATGGTTCCATCATCGTGCCTTGAGTTTAGCCGTTTCCTCTTTCCGTCATCAGAATTGAAATGTGGCCTTTTTCTGGAAGTATTTGATTTATGCCTTCTAGATCTATCATGATCCATCAGTAACCTTTGCCTGCATAAGGAAAAGTCCATCAACATAAATGAGAATTAGACATAATGTAGGACACAGGCAACACACAAATAATGGACATGGCGCACGATAGAAGTATGAGAAATGTTCCATGATGGCAACATGCATGACCTTGTAACTTTTGCATAACTCAACATGGAAAAAAGTTGCCATTAAATGCTTATGTGGATACTTTGGGCCTATGGAATTACTCGTAGCTGTTTGCAGGAACAATAATAACAGGCAAAGGCTATACATCTAAACTTTAAAGTCACCTCACTGAACACACGCCACAGTAACTAAATATATACCTTGTCATATTTTCTAAAGATGTATCTATACAGTGCTTCCACAGTTCCACCTATTGTATTCCTTCAAACAAACATTTACCACTATCTAGTTTAGTCTCACTGTGGCATGATCTTAATTGATCCAAGAAAGGTAGTGAATTTTATAACGCACGGCTCAAGATCCAAGTATCAATATTTGTAAAGTACTCGAGTCGTGCAAACTCACAGTAGGTTTTTTAAAGGCAAAATGCTGATATCAGGCCAGCGTGTCCAAAAAGGAATACCATGGCAGATTAATGCGCAGTTGCACATTATTGGAGTAAACAGATTAAGAAAATGACAAGCAACAGACACAAAGGGCATCCTGTCATTAAATGAATTTAATGGAGATGTTCCACTAAAGCATTTCACAGAAAGTAAAATAAAAGGACTATGTATAATGGCGCCAAACATCCTTTCGTAGAGATCTACAGGTGGCTGCTAGGCAACTGGACAGGTAGGACTTGAATTTATAATAACAGGGTCAGCATACAAATCATTAGTCACATGTATAGAGCATCACATTAGAAGCAAAAGTCATCCTAACGTACGTGACGTGCAGCAACTCCATAAATGGAAAGAAATGACAAAATAATTACACTCCATCAAGGCATCAGGCCATCGCCTGGTCAATAACGGCAATAACTAGCTCCTGAATAAGCTACTGAATGCAGAACATGAGATGCCAAATTGATGACTGTACACTTGCCGCCTTGTTGCTGCCCTACTAATACGTAATCAAATAAAGTGTCATGGGCAGTGGGCCGAGAGGTCGAGGCCTTCCCTCGTCTTACGGTAGCTCAGTTGGTTGGATAGGATTAGGTTGGGTCCTTCCCTCCATCTATATAAGGATGAATCCAGGGGGGGAGGCAAGCCTAGGGCAGCTTGGGCTTAAGCCCTAGGCTTGCCTCCATAAACTTGCCTAAATCCTTTTAAATCACCATGGATTTTTTTGAGAAAGCCAATATCCTATTAGGTGAGCCCTACTTAAGCCCTAGGCGTAGAAAATTTCTGGCTCCGCCACTGGATGAATCGTATCGTCACTTGGATTAAGCAATGAATCAGAATTAGTCTCCTCCAACCCTAGGTCCCTCTCTCATCCTTAGCAGGCGTCTACCCCCTATGAACCCTAACATAAAGCGATCGAACACTCCAGTTGTTTTCTTTTACCACACAAAGGCCAATATATAACCACTCTCGGCACGAGATTACAGAACATGCTCACATTATCAACAATCAAACACATAAAAGCTGCAGTTTTGACCACCCAACATGCATCCCTACAAATGATATGCCAAAAAGTCGGCAAAATCGTCCACACAGGCGCACTCAGAAAGGGAGTGTGCGCACATTAAGTCTTGACCTGAAACAGATTAATCGAACACACTAGACGAAAGGAGGAGGAGAAGAAGAAAAAAAAAGAAACCATCCATCCTTTCTATTGAACCGCAATTCTTTCCAATCTTCACATGCTGCTGCTGCTGCTACTCAAATAAATCCATGAACCTGTCTCGTTAAGGTTAATTGGAGGGGAAGGGGATCAAACCTAAGCCCGGATTGGCTCATCTAAGAGGGAGAAGAAGGAGTAATATACCTTTGAGCCCGATGCGGACCGGGATGGCGCGTCGCACCGGCGAACGAGGCCGCACAGGGAAGGCGAGGAGGGGGGGGCGGCGGGTGGCCTGTCTCTCTCCGAGCTCCGGCTGCCGCCGCGGATCGGAAGCGGCGGCGGAGGCGGAGTCGGGAGGGGTGGAGTCGTGGAGAGGAGGAACGGGGGAGAGGAGACCGATGAGGGAGGAGGAGGCGGCTGCCCTGACGTGGTTGGTGTGGGGCCCACGCGTCAGTGACACGCGCCTCCCTCTGACGTCTACAATTGAGGAACCGCTTTTGGAATTCACTATTTTTTTTTTCTCAGCTTTCGGCTCCAAATAAGCCAAACGGTATATTTGCAAACAATAAATTATTTGTTAATAAAACTTTTATATACGTGTTTTCAGTGATCTAAAAGTAAAGGCCGAAAAATAAATTTCGACGAAAAATCTCAAAATCAACTTCAAATTTAAAGTTGAAAATTCAAATTTTGGCTGATAAGTATAAGTATAAGAAAAAGATGAGGTTTGTTTTTTTTTCTTCCCATCCCTTGTACCATGCATGTAAGATTTTTCTCTAATTTTTTTCTTCTCTATTTCTCTCACCTACTATACAGTTAATGTATTTTTTTTATTTTGAAGTATGTAAAGAGCTAGCTCTGGTATGTGAGTCGATATTTTTTATTTTTCTAATTCTGTTACCACCACGTAAGTTTTATAATTGACTTATAGTTTACTAGTATTAAACTTGCTCTAAGGGTGTGTTCTTCCCCCTACTTTCTCAACTTATGCATCCTCGTTTTTCACGCGCATACTTTTCAAATTATTAAATGGCGTGTTTTTAAAAGTTTTCTATATAAAAGTTGCTTTAAAAATTATATTAATCTATTTTTCAAATTTTATTAGTAATACTTAATTAATCATGCATTAATCTATCACTTAGTTTACCAGCCGAACACAGTCTAAATAGGGTTAGCCATCGAAATTATAGACCAAGATTTCCACAGTTTAAGATTTATCGATTTCCCCTGAAATTTTTGGCTTTTCTAAATAGTTAACACTGTTTTACGTTTCATTGATCGCCATGATCTCTACTTTCTATGGAAAATGGCATATACTTCCATCGTCCAATATTAAGGATGCTCACATATACTCCCTCCATAAAAAAAAAACTCAACCTAGTAAAGAATATGACCCCTCTTAATACAATACATTTGGACTACCTATTGTTCAGATTCGTTGTCCTAGAAGGGATCACATTCTCTTCTATATTGATTTTTTTTTACGGACGGTTTTTGACGGACGGGGTATAAGGCAATATGCTCGCTGGGATGCTTGCATATACAGGGCCTTTTTTTTTCAATGCCACACTTTGACACCCGAATATTAGAAGCGCCACAGTTTATTGCTGATTGTTTAGTGCACGTAAGGTCCATTTATATATAGGTTTAATTAGATCCATGACATTATAAATTTTACCGTTTTAAAATATATACTCCATATGTTTAACTGTTCAACTATAAACCGTGAAACTTTATATATATACAAAAGGAGCTGGCAAAACCGTGAAACTTTATATATATACTCCGTATATGCAAAAGGAGCTATATAGAGGCGGTAATGGACCCAATATTTTACACTAGAAAATTTTGAGGGTTTGATTTAAAATGGGTTGGACTCAATTATTATACATTTTTAACCTAAAAATATTTGAGGGTTAAATAGGGTTGTGAAAGGACCCATAGACCTTGAACCATTTCCACCCCTCATTGCGTTTGAGGTTAACATTCTTTTCTTTGCTTTGGGACTCAGCACGGTCACATATACGGACGACTCCAAAACGTAAACTAATTCTAGCTTCATAAAGACTCTCACTTTTGTTCCATAAATGCAATTATATTTTCTATAGAACTATATTGATCAATATAAACAGTTACGATCTAGTCCTACACACCGATCTAACGATCAATATTTTTCTCTCTTGATCAATGTGGTAACTTTCATGTATATATCTATACCCCTGTACATTCTCTTTCTTTTTCCCGTTACTCTTTCTTTTCTGCTTTCCTTTATGTACCTCCCTCTCTGTCTCTCTTCTCTCTAACCTTAAACTTGTAACCTATAAACCTCATTTCTATCAATGAAATGACTATAAGGTAGAGCCTTCTTGCGTCAAAAAAATGTGGTAACTTTAAGCCTCCGGAGCAAACAATGTGTGCCTCTTTTTCTTGATCCCATAACATGATCGATTGCATATATATTCTTCCCTGGCTTTTAGTCTCATTTCTCATCCTAAATAAAATACAGAAAAACTCACTTAGTGATCATCAAGTAAGAAAAATCCCATCAGGCTGCAACGTTGAGATGTCATTCATACCTTCATCATGGCCTACGCCTAATCTCCTTCGGCTTGTAACTCATTCAACATAGTATCTAGGAATTTATCGAATGTATCCCTTCTTAGCCACATGTTAGTCTCCTCCTCCTCTTCTTCCTCTTCCTCTTCCTCTTCTTCCTCTTCCTCCTCTTCCTCCGATTCCACATCATCCACTTCAAACAACCCCAACTCCTCCTCCGATTCATCCTCCGATTCCTCCTATACAATTGAGGAAAGCAGCTCATGCAATTAGCAACAAAGCAGCAAAAAGTGTTACTACCTCCGTTTTTAGATATATGGCATTGTTAGCTTTGATACATGATGTTCGACCGATCATCTTATATTCTGAATAAGATGATTGCTCAAACATTATGTCCAAGTCAGCGGCATCATATATTATTTTAAAATGGAGTAAATGCTAGTCCTGAAAGTGAATGTCCGTACATCCTCGGAGCTGCTTGTCAGTACCAAACGATATCGCTCTACATCCAAGTGACCACCAGCGTATGCATTAGTATTTTGGGGGTGCTTCATAGGAGGAGTCCCCTTGTTTCTGCAACCATAACAGTGACCCCCTTTACAGAGAAAAAAATGCATTTGTCAAGTAACTGCCAAATCACCAACCATGCACAAGCAGATGTACATCCGAGTAATTGAAGGAAACGAAAAACGACATATGCAACCAATATAGAGGCCTGTACATGAAACAGTTTAAGATATTGTACAAGCATGTATGACATGAACTACTGTAACGTAACATAATGGGAAAGCAAAACTGCCAAATTAGTGTAATAGGAATTGCGGATGATGTTCTATATTCAGCAGAAAAAGTTTTGAAAATATATCTAACAGAAGAGTTGGCGCTTCAGCAGCCATGCAAGAACAGATGTTAACACATAGTCACAAAGTTCTCAGGTTGATGAGGTCGAGGAATTTGTACGCTACTTGCTAGAGGTTTTTACACTACCGCAAGGGTCATGAATGACACTGTACTCGAACATAACGGCAAATAAACTGACTTCAGTTTAATAAATAATTGGAAATCATATCCTACATTCAGCAGCAAATATACAAATGCTATCGTAAAAATATACATTCAATGGGTCTAATGAATTGAGTTCCAACAGTGTGTAATGCAATATATAGAGCATAGGTGCTAAGCAAAAGGCAGAATGCAACATATGAATTCAGTATAGTCTACAGAGTAGATAAACAAATATTCCTCAATCCAGATTTATGTTTGAGGTAAACTGTAAGTGTACCAATAACCACTACAATGTGAATTTAGAAGATAGTTTAAGAGAAAAGTATGAATACCATTAACTTCAGTGTCAATCTTGCAGAAACAGCTGACCTTCCAGGCCATTCTTCTTTGCACATGTGTCACTTCAGCAAAGAATAGTTTGCCACTGCTATCGTCAGCTCCCTTTTGTTTTGCTGTGAAATTGAAATGACAATACCACATACAATTCTCACAAAATAATTGCCTACTCACAAGATCTTCAAGTTCATATGCATGATTCTACAACAATAACATTACCAAAAATTGCATCAGAGAGAGAGAGAGAGAGAGAGGGGGGGGGAGTATACCCCAAAAAGTTTGTTGTCATCATTATACTGGTCCAATATAGCTTGAACCAAGTATTGCTTTTCATCATAGGTAGTCTTGCTACTCGGAGAACTGGGATCTCTCTTTGGTGGACCATAAAGATAGTGTTTACAATCATGTATCATCCTATCCACACGAGAAAATTCACCTGATTGTGTGCACCTAATTCAGATCAGAGCACGCCACACTATTAGTACTTCAGTGGAGAATTCAAAGTGGGGAATATAGAAGTGACACTAAGTTGTCTAAATGGTTATAGGTCCAATGTAGGGTTAGGAAGAGTTTGTGTAGAAAGTTACTGAGCAAGGATGAAACTCCCAGGTACCTATGTTATCACTGATTGAGTAATAAAAAAGTGTCCTTGAAATTATAACAAGATAAGAGAATTGAACATGTACAATCTCCATGCCTATAAGTTATCAATCAGGCTAATTGATACGGTTATCGCAATTATTTGATACAGCAGACAACAGAACTGTGTGTGTTTGTAATCAACTTACATTACAATTCAGATTAAAACATACCTTAAACAAAGCATAGTATAGTATATATTTACTTTGTGGACTTACTGTCATGCCTATGGGTTACGATTAGTACTCCCTGGCAAAAATAATAACAGAGGATAGTTTCGCTAACTTCATCATTGTCATAATAGGACCACATATTATAGATGCAACCTGGTTTTTTTTTTTATCAACTCTTAGGCTTTCTATTACTCCAAAGTTAAGTATATTTGCTGCGTTCTTAACTAATTTGATGAAACAAAATTAAGACTGTAAAGCAATACCTTTATATGAAGAGTAATACATGAGCACCATGAGTAGAAACAATGCATGCAAACTACCTAGTCAAGTTAAAGTACACTGACCAAACACCGTTGCTTACTGTGGAGAATTAAATGAATGAGCTACAACAAATTCAAGAAGAAACTTTACCTTGCTCCATGCTGCAGTTCATCAAGAAAGCACTTGATAGCATCGTCAGCTTCATCTACTCTCTGAAACGGTCCACCCACATCAGGGTAAGTCCAGCAAGAGCCCCTGGGGTCTATTCTAATGTAGAACAGCTGGTAGCAATTTACAAAACTGCGGACCAAAATGCTAGACCCAACAGATGAGGAAGCTGATTGCAGATAGCCATCAGTGGTGGTGTTATCTGGCGCCGTTCGTGGATTATCATCGAAAATTTCGTCCAAGAGCGAAAGGGCCACATCTTGCAGAGATGTGGACAGTGTAGCATCTGCCACAGGCTTGTCAATTCTGGATGGGCAAGTGCTAGATGAGCCATCATCAATGATGTTATGACTGGCAGTAATCAAATCTTGTGATGATGTGGTGTCAAAAGACTCCCCCAAGGATGAAACATCTGGCTCTTGTAAGGGTACTAGAGGTGCAGACTGAGCAGCACCTGCCACAAGCTTGTCAGATCTGAATGGAGAAAAGCACAGTGAGTACATAGTATATCCTACAAAAAATTCACATCCAAGAACAATCGATCACTGAGCAATGCCTAAGTAAGGCCGAGTTTAGTTCTAAATTTTTTATTCAAACTTCCAACTTTTCCATCACATCAAAACTTTCCTACACACACAAACTTCTAACTTTTCCGTCACATCGTTCCAATTTCAACCAAACTTCCAATTTTGGCGTTAACTAAACACACCCTAAGCTGAGTAAGAAATCTGTAATGAACTGGTAGCACAAATTCGATAGAAATCCATACTGATCCCCCAGTTTTATTTATTTTATGTCCCTTATCTCCTGCTGCTGCTAATACTAGAAAACAAGCCTTTATAGCAAGTACCAATCCCCATCACCTCCAACGAATGAATACCCAAATATTGCCGAGCTACCAATCCCAATTCCCTCCCAAGGAATGAATTACCAATACCGAGCGTTTATCAGACCAATTCGTAACCTACTTTTTTACAAAATGGGATAATCCCGGCCTCTACATCCAATCGCAACCTAATACTAGATCGACCAATTTGTAAGGCCTAATTGGATCGGTCGCAAACAGAAAAAAAAAAAAGAAAAGCGAGAGGATTCATACGATGATGAAGGCGAAGGCGAAGGCGGAGGCGGAGGGACCATCGCCGGCTTGGTTAGGGTTTGGCGAGGGTTCGCACTCGGGACCGATGATTATGTTGGGGGATTTTTGGTTCGTGCGCGGGACGGAGACGGATTTACCGGTTTTGCGTGCGGCGGCTGGGTTGAAGACGGAGAGGAGCGTTCTTTTATTTTATTTTATTTGCTTTTCTTTTCTCTTTGTGAGGACTTTCGAATTTTTTTTCATTTTTAATTTTTAATTTTTTAATATTTACAGAAATATTATACCATCCAAAATATTTACACAAATGGCCCCTTCCACCCAAGTGGAGAGCGATAAAGGTGTGCGCATTTTGCATTGAGGTCATTTTGCAAGAGGGTAAATACAATTTTCGCCTTACCAAAAATATATTTTTCTAGTTTTTTTTTTTCAAATTATCCGGCCCTCAACTCACCCTGCCGCCCTAAATATTTTCACCGTACAATATTTCTATAAATATTAAAAAATAAAAATTTAAAGATGAAAAAAATTCAGGACTTTCCGAATCGTTTGTGGGCCGAGACCAGAGAAACAGAGCAGGCTATAAGTCTATTTGCCCTCCCCCATCTCTTGCTCTGATTGAATCACCTCACTCAAGTACTCGTACTCAACCAAAAATCGGGGTTATAAGTCGTAACACCTCCCCCATGTTTAAGAACCGGTGCAAATCGAACCCTTTCAGTGGTTTGGGAAGCAGTTTTTTTTGTTGACGTGAGGTGGGATTCACATGTCAGTGACTCTTCTATCTATTCTCTCTCAAGGTAGAAGGAGGGTTCCTGAGGCGAAGGGAGGCGATGAGAATCATTGACAACACTATAATTTTTAGTTGAAATAACTATAGAGTAAAATTCACAAAACTACACATATGTTGATCAAATTGTCACAAAACTACAGATTTAATGCGTTGTATCATAAAACTACAGATTTAACATCAAATTTATAAAAAAACTATAAATTTAAGGTCAAATATTACACAACTACATATTTAATATTAAAGTTATTACAAAACTATATATTTTAGAGTTCAAACCCTAACACTACCATTATGTTAGAGTTACAAACATTATAGTTTTGTGATTAAATTGGTACTATACCTGTAGTTTTGACATATATTTGCTACTTAACCTATAGTTTTGTGACTTTTCATATCTTAAATATTCCAATTTTGTGACAATTTTGACACTGAATATGTAGTTTTATGATACAACACTTTAAATTTATAGTTTTATGATATTTTATTCAAAATATTTGTAGTATTGTGAAATGTACTCATATCTATACCATGTTAAAGAAAGGTCCGAGGGTCCGAGGGTCTAGCTTCGAGTCTCATCCCTTAATAAATTTCAATACAAGAGTCATACCCAATGTTTTGTTTAATATCTATATCGTTTAAATTTCACCATAAATAACCTAGTTGAATTTCTTTACATGGGAGCAATCAAAGGTGATCTTGTATGTATAGATGGCCAAATGAGCCGTCTGGTCCAGGCACGACTAGATACAGGCCTAAGATCAATCTGGCCGGCACGGGCTCACTTACACGCTGGGCCGTTGGTGCCAAAACCCCATGTCATGGACCAGATCATCGGCCCCAGACCATTTGGCCATCTATACTTATCTGGGAGCGGCTGCTTTTTCACGAGAAAAAGAAAAATGAAAAACTGCTGAAATACAAGGTGAAAACTGAAAGAAAAGAGAAGAGGATGGATGGAAGGCGAGCAAAGCAAAGAAGCTGTTAGTGGGCTTCCTTCTTCGTCCTCCTACATTCCCTCTTCTTCCCTTTCCCCCTCCATTAGTACTAAGTACTAACTCTAGTTTCTCTCTCTAGTTAGTTAGTTTGGTAGAAAATTAGGTAGGCTTTTAGCATCAGGTTGGTAGAAATTCGAATCCCTCTGCGTGGACACGTAGCGGGGAGAGGAAAAAAATCGAAGCTTTTCATGACTGCAGCCATCGCCGCAGATGGCCACCAAGCGCGCGTACAAGCTCCGTATCCTCGATTCTTCTTGCCGCTTGAATCCTCGGTTTGGGAGTTTTAGATTAAATTTGAGTTCTTTTTTTGGGTCGAGTTGTTCTTGCCCTGCCTGCTTATCGTTGTATGTAATCTAGGTTTCTGATCGAGTTGGGGGGAGTCCGCGTGTGGTGATCGGTTTCGATCTGCGCTCATGTTATTTTCTTTGTGCTGTTCTTGGTTTGATGATTGGGTTTATCGCGGTACGCTGCTGGGATTGATTTGGTACGAATTCCAATGAGATGAGACGATTTGAGACCATGTGAACTCTACTGTTCAGCTCTAGCAGATCTTCCTTTTGTATGCGTGTGCAAGTATTATGTAGTTCTCTGCTTAAAGCCAGACTAAATTTTGCTGTTTTTTTTTTTTGCCGGAATGACCGAAGGAGGTCATTCAATGTAATTAAGACGGAAGAAAAGATTACAAGAAAAGTTTTACATCGACAGTTGGCTGTCGAGAAAGGATGTGCACCAGAGCACACGCCCCGAACCATGTGCCAACCGCCTAAACACACGCTACAGAGAGGGAAGTCCGTTACCCAATCCGAATCCACCATCTGAACATCGGCGGCACATGGCTTCCGCCACACCCGAACTGACGCCCCTCCGTCGGCCGACTTCATCGAACCACCATCCCTGAGAGCTGACCCAGGACCCCTCCGTTCAACCACCCACCGGCCTCCTCGCCAGATCTGGCCGAAGGAGAACCTGGGACTAGGTGGCATTGCTTCAGCAGCCTGAGCTTCCCCCACTGACAAGCTGCCGCCTCAATCCAGCTTAGAAACTCCCCACAAAGAAGGGGAGGAGCTCTAGGAAGGGCGAGGGTGCCGATCGACAACGAGGAAAACGACCAACCGCCGCCAACTCCCTTTGCATTGCCATCTGGGCCTGCACCAATGCCAGAAACGCTGCCGCTCCGGCTCCGGTGCCACCCGCCGGCGCCCCCTTTGTCCGGCCTCCTTGCCCCACCTAGCCGTGCCGCGCCGCTACTGGCCGCTAAGGGCACCGCGGCAGCCCAGCTGCCCGACCGTCGAGGCCTAGCCACGCCATAGGGCCCGGCGGCAGCGAAGGCAGAGGCGGGGGCGGGGGAGGCGGCAGGGTGTTGACCAGCTTCCGCCGCCGCTCCCAACCGCCGCCGCCGCCGCCGCACGGTTCGGCCGCACGCCGCCGCCATGCACCTCGACGGCATCCGCATCCGCGTCCAGGCCGGCACCGCCGCCACGCAACCGGAGCCGCCACCGCCGCCGAGCTGCCACCGTCGCCGAGCCGCGACAGCGCCGCCGAGGCGCCACCGCCGCCCCTAGCCGCCTCGCGCCGAGATTCAGGCGAGGATGGCCGGATCCGGACTTGGGGACTCCGGATCCGCCGCCTCCCCGCACCGCCCCAACATCGACGTCGCCAACTCCGACCGCGGTGGGGGTCTTCGTTTGTTTTAGTTCGAGAGAATAAAGACTATTATTAGTGAAGTTTTATTTCAAAAATAAATATTAGTTAGAGCATTGAGTTGTCATCTTACAAAAATTGACTCCTGTATTATCTTCTGCTTGGATAGTTTCTGCTGCAAATAGGATCACACTAGGGTCAGATGCTGACACTTACCATGAGAAAAAATTGGATGGATGAATTAATCAATACAAAATCTTCAAATATTTATTATGTGTAGCTCTTTTCTTTAAGAATTTAGATGGTGAGATATCATGGATAATACATTCACTGAAATGAACATGGTTTAACCCGAAAAGCATTGTTATGTCAGTAAATTGCGTTACCTTGTTGAAATGTATATTTTGAAATACCCTTCCAAAAAAGTGATTTTCTGAAGCAACACTGAAAATTGCCCAAATGCCAAATGGTAATCTACAACAGCCAACCATGTTTCCTTGACAATGGCCAGAGGAGTTTGTTGCGCATGCTTCCGATGTCAACTGTGTCAAGTTTGGGAGGAAGACATCAAGAATCCTCATCACTGGTGGGGAGGACCAAAAGGTCAATCTTTGGGCCATAGGGAAACCCAGTTCCATCTTGGTAATATTCCACTGGCCTCTGAAAGGTCAATCGTTCATGTGTAATACTTCTTTTTTTTCTTCCTTGTCTTTGTTACTCAGTTTTATGGGGTCTTTATTAGTCAGTTTGAAAGTTACATCTCTTCTTACAAGTTAATGTCACTATGAATTGCAGAGCCTGTCAGGCCTTACGAGTCCAGTTGAGTCAGTGAGCTTTGACTCATCTGAAGCTATGATAGGTGCTGGAGCATCAAGTGGGACAATAAAGATATGGGATGTAGATGAAGCAAAAGGTACGAACTAATATGGATAACAATTTGCTGCATTATTCATTTAAAGAAACACTTCGCTGCATTTAAACCGAAGTATAAACTGTAGTTGTATCACACAACTATAACTTTGTTAATTTTTTTTTGCTCAGTCGTTCGTACTTTTACTGGACATAGATCGAGTTGTGCGTCCCTTGATTTCCATCCTTTTGGAGAATTCTTCGCTTCTGGGTCTTCAGACACTAACATGAAAATATGGGATATGCGGAAAAAGGGATGCATTCACACATATAAAGGTCACACACGGCGGATTGATGTGCTTAGATTCACTCCTGATGGCCGGTGGATTGTCTCTGGTGGATCTGATAACTCTGTAAAGGTACAATTCTGAATATGTCTATTAATACAAGGCAAACACAATCACAGCACTGGAAAAGAAATAACATGCTATGCTGATTATTCGAACCATTAAGCTGTCATATGTATCTCTCGGGTCACTGAAATTGTTTTCTGATCATCTTGCTAGATCTGGGATTTGACAGCTGGAAAGCTCTTGCATGACTTTAGGAATCATGAAGGCCCAATTAACTGCTTAGATTTTCACCCCCATGAGTTCTTATTGGCTACAGGTTAGATAGATGATCCTTTATTATAACACTTGTAGTAGATGCATTCACTGTAGTGTACTAGCTGGCAGTTTGATGACATGTTTTCCTCCAAAATTATGCTATTATGAATATTATTATTTCTGGCATGGATCATTGTTGACTGATGCTTATTTGTGTCATCTAGACTTGACAGCCTATACATTGCTTTCTTGTTTCAAAAATATTTGCAGGTTCAGCTGATAAGACAGTTAAGTTTTGGGACCTTGAAACTTTTGAGTTGATTGGTTCTTCTGGACCTGAGGTATTGAATATATTAATTGTTGTATATCTTAAAGCAATTCAAGTTAATGTTCAGAGTTTGAGCCAATTTAGATCTATAAATACCATCGCTATGTAGCGCTCTGTCATACTATCTCCTATATATGAGGGTCTCATGTAAGTGTTAGATACATGTCATCATGTTCTTGGCTTCAAAGAGATTCAATTAAAACCAAGTTCCAGTAATCTATTTAAGTTTATGGTAATTCTGCCTAAACCTGGTCCTTTAAAAGGGGATAAAAGAACACAGCAAGTCAACATTAAGCAGTACTTCTGTGCATATTTGGAGTCACTAAATGGTAAGATATCAATCTGACCAGTGATTCAGGCATCCAGCATGTCAAACCAAATGATATAATCATACCTGAAATTCTCTCTCTGCAAATAGCTTTCAAGAGCTTATATAATTTAATATTCATTTATGCAAAACGATATGTCAGTTCAAGTTTTTACCCACGTTCCTTAATTTGTACCTTTGGACCCTAATGTTTTGTCAGTTAGATAATACATACCCATCCTTAAAGAAAAGATTGATTGTACCTTGAGCTATACCATGAGTTATTTCAATCTCCGCTCCTTATCTTCTTGTTTCGTGGATGTAACTAATATATTCTGTTTCTTGCAGAATAGCCGGGAATACTTTGTGCCAGTACGTTGATCCTTAATCCATTCTATCTATATTTTTCTACTCAAATGGATGGCAGTGCTTTCTGTCTACAAAGTTCTCGATGTAAATGAAATAATCAATACTTATCTTATCTGCATGTACTCTTAATTTTCAGGCTAGTGTAGTTCGGTCTATGACATTCAACAAAGATGGTAAATCACTTTTTTGCGGATTACATGAAAGTTTGAAGGTAACTGCTCTGTTGGACTGTCGATATCCTCTGAAGCTTTGGAAAATGACCTCACAACAGATTTTATTTATTTATTTTTTTTACCTGTAGGTTCTTTCCTGGGAACCCATCATATGCCATGATGTGGTTGATGTTGGCTGGTCCACATTAGGGGATCTAATTGTTCATGAGGGAAAACTTCTTGGTTGCTCATATAACCAAAGTTGTGCTGGAATATGGGTCGTGGACTTGATGGTATGGTTCTACACTATTTACTTTGTTACCAATTGGGCAGTTCTGATATGTTACTTATCCCAAATTTCAGAAAATTGAACCGTATGCTGTTAGCATTGCTGAAGCACATTTGAATGAAAGCGTAAATAGGTCAATACAGGCTGATAATAGCATATCATCAGTGTTGGGAAGGTTATCAGTTTCCAGAAGCCCAGGTAAACAATTATCATTTGGCGTATAACATCAATATAATTTTTCTTCATCCATTATCCTTGAGTTATGATTCTTCACCCTAAAACTATGTATATTTTGCTATTTCTCGAAACCGCAGCCAAGGAAGCATCTTCCGATACTTTGCTTAAACTCTCAATGTCTGCTTCAAAAGAAGTTCCTGTTCCAGCTTCTTCTGCAGTGACAAAGAAACTACCAAAAGAACCTATAACAAGCAATATTCGGCTCACAAGATCTGATTCTCTACCAGTTGTTTCTCCTAGGGTTAGATTGAACCCAAAGTTCTCTGATGACCAGAAGAGGCAGACAGATTATGCTGTGCCTATAACAACTCCAAGAATTCGCTCCAAAGTGGATCTCTCTATAGGTGCTAGAGCATTCCATCGTAACTCAGTACCATCGGTTGCTCCCACAAATAGATCCAGGTCCAAAATATCTGCATATAGTAGTGAAGGATCGTCGTTCATCCCTGTTGTTGTCCCTAGGCATATCCCTAAAGTGGATTCTGGTCCCAATCTCAGTAAAGTTCTCACTACTGATTTAACAATTGTCGAGCCTCAAGACATAGAACGAGGTGGTCTGGCTGTGGATTGTGGAGAAGATGATAAATTGGTGTGTGTGATTGATTCAAGGAGCTCAAATATGGGTGTACAAAATGGCCGTAGAAGAAAAGCCGGTGATATTATTACACATAAAGAAACCCCAGAGACTGCTTTGACAGTTAATATGGATCGTGACTTCAGAAGAAAGGCTCCTGAAACTGAAAGTATGCAACAGGACATATTTCATTCAGAGCCCATTAGTTCAAAATGTAAATATATTAAAGAAACTTCAGGTGCTGGAGACATTAACTTGTCTGGGTCAGCCATTACTGAAAGTGTCAAGTCTAATGAAGGTGGTGACTGGTATAATGCATCTTCTTTTGTAAAACCAAATTTGACTGTTGGAAGGAATCCAGAGACTTCATACATCAACAGAAGAACAATGTTTGGATTGAGACATTCAACGGATTCAAGTGAAAAACACGCTGTTGAACATGGTAAGTGTTCAAACCGATATGTTATTATTTCTCTTTGTTTCCCTTCAACTTACCTTGCTCTTTGTTGGGAGGACAGGGCCTTCCAATTTGTCTGCAAGTTATGAGAGAAATCAGTATGCACCAACACTACATAACTTGGTATGCATACTCCAAATTTCCAGATTATGTCATTCACGATGTATTTATTCTTATGTTGGTACCAAATCCATGTTATGCCCTACCTTATTGTTTCTGCAGAGGAGGCGCTCTTCGGTTGCTAGAGAACAGAGTGCATCAGCTGGTGATGAAGATGATATTGCTGATCTGATGGAAAACCATCAAGAATTCATTCATGCAGTGAAGTCTCGGCTAACAAAACTAGAGGTTATAACGAGTATGGTCATCTATAGCATCTGCTATTTTGAGATACCTCGAGTAACGGTAATCTCAATGTGTTATGTGTAGGTGGTTTACAGGTGTTGGCACAATAACGATGTAAAGGGATCTATTGATGCTACACGCAGGATTCAGGATCTTGATGTGTGTACTTCTTAATTACCATCCTGTTCTGTTGAAGTTCCATCCATTATAATGTCTGATGAGTTCTACCACTTTTACAGGTTACCGCCGATATAATTAGTGTTCTGATGGAGAATGATAATTCTATCACACTAGATATTTGTACTTGTGTCTTACCTCTTGCCTCCAGTGTTCTTGAAAAAAGCAGCTATGACAGGTACTTTTCCTTGAATATATTCTTGTAGCATTTCTCTTAGTAAGTATGCATTGACATCTCCTATTGCAGGCACCTGAAAGTTGCCTTGGAGATGATCCTTAAGCTTGTGAAAAGCTTTGGTTCTACAATATCTTCAGCTGTGTCATCTACTCCACCAGTTGGTGTAGACATTGAGGCAGAACAGAGGTAACCTTTCTTGCCTCTCATTTTCATTGCATCTAAATACATTGCTGAGGCTTCATGTACATTACAATGGTTCAATTCACACATGTGAATTTGTTGCTACTTTGCTAGGCTCAATCGGTGCAATTTGTGCTTTCTAGAGCTGATAAAAGTTCACAGCGTTCTCTTTGCCCTGACACGGTAAATTCTTGGTTTAGCTTCAAAAAGGCATTGCTTTGAGATTCTGAAAGTCTCATTGGCGATTCAAAGAACTAAAAATCGATTCATTTGTGCATCCTGTTCTATAGGCGGCAAGGCGAGGTTGGAAGATCTGCACAGGAGCTAAGCCTCTTTCTTCAGGATATCTTTCAGCTGACAAGCAGATAGATGATATGATAGCCATACGGCGATATTTCGCCCAAATACTCATCTTTTTTCCTTGGAACAGATAGACAGCTATAGAGAAAGATATAGATAGGAAACATACAGGTCATCCTTGGCAAATGTACAGCAAATTCTTGTACCATCCGGTTTGCAATCAAATACTAGTCAACAAAAATTCAAAAATCTCTGCAAGTTCAGAGTTATATAATTACAGGGCAACAGTACTGCAACAAAGCAGGTACCAAATATAGTTTTTCTTTTCCCATCAGTCGTCAGATATTGCTCCTTACCACCTTGCGAGCACTATTTAGTTGATTGTAAGTGTAATGAGCTATTAGAGAGAGAGAGAGAGAGAGAGAGAGAAGTCCACTGCTGCTATAGCATCTCCAGGAAATGGGAAATGAGATAAAGTCCAAAAACGTTTTAATAGGTTAATGAATTCTGACGTTTCAACATGTAAAGATTACACCAACTGTACAATGGCATTAAATCATCCAGAGTAACAATCACACAAACATCATGAAAACTTCGATCTCAATAGGAATTTCATTAGGGATATGATCGTTCATGGCACAACACATTTCTCATCAGCAACGCAGAATGATGAGACCACCGTTTTCTCGATAAGTACAATCCAATTTTGACAGCAACAATTAAATTACCGTACATAAATAATCATCAAGTTCTGCTAAAAGTTTGCTGTCCAGCTGAAGGGGGCTGTGTAGGGGGAGGTGGGGGAAGTGACATCTGCATTTGCATCGGCATGGGCATCTGCGCTAGAACACCCCGGTCACCTTGGCCAGAAAGATCCCTACCTGGTATGCCTGAATTCATTGAGCCATCAGGCATGACTCCGAAACCACCTTGCAGGAAAACCATTCCGCCACCTCCCTGAGGTTCACCTGCACCTTCAGGCATTCCCTGTCCAAGTGGCATCGACTGAAATGGGTTGCCCATCAATCCCATGCCCCATGGACGCTGAAGCCCCTCAGGGAAGCTTAAAGGACCAGGTGGCGTAGGTTGGACCCCCGAGGCTGAGCCTTGATCCAGTCCAACATCTGGTAGTTGCATCTGGAAAGGGGCACTGAAGAACTGTGGATTTCCATCTTGTTGGAGAGGATAATTGAATGATGTGTTGGACATTAATGGCTGATTCATATTCATGGGCATCATGAAGTTTGGCTGATGAGGCATTGGAGGAAACATGAAAGGCGCATTAGGCATCATTTGCTGTTTGTCTTGACTACCATGCTCTGATTCTTGGCGGACTGGAGTCGCCCCAGGTGCATTTTCATGAGCCCAGTTGTAGGGCCGATCAAATCCTTGAGGCGGGTTGTTCTCACTTGGAGTATCCCCTGGTGGATAAGAGTGACGACCATGGAATGATGGTGGTCTTGATAGCATAGGGGGCCTCTGTGGGGTCTGGTCTCTGGAATGGTGGTAGCGAGATCGGTCATCACGATCTTGCACATGAGAACTTGAAGAGGGTGAAACACCAGTCCGAGGAGGAGCACGTGCAGTAGACATTTCAGGCATCTGAGATTGTCTTTGATCACCCCCAGAAGCACGGGAAATGTTAGGAGCATCTGGCTCATTACGTTCTTCCCTCTCTGGAGTATTGTGCAGGAGGTTGGCATGAACTTCAGGTATATGAGAATCAAATTCAGATCTCTTAAGGAAAGACTTGAGACACATAGGTGCAGCACAGATAAAAATCCCTTCCATCATTTTCACAGTTTGAATCTTCTGAATGCGCTCATCACAACTGAAAAAAATAGGTTAACAAAAGTTTAAAAGTGGCAGGCGCCAAACCAAGTTGATCTGTAACAAAATACTAGAAGATAACAATGCTAGCTAGTAAGATTTCTCACTTTTAGTGCAATATTTCTTGAAAAATCTTATGAGCATGTGCAACATTTGATTGGCGAAGAGACACAAAAAGTAGCATTCCAAGGCAGACAGCAACATGAAGTGTATCACTGCTTACCCAGTGTCCATAGCTATTGATGTAAAAGATTAACACATCCCATGAAAGCAATAACAGAATGCAAACAAGCCATAGTTTATTAGTAGTACCAAACCATTTGAAATTCATGCATACTATAATACTCCCTCCGTTTCAGGTTATAAGACGTTTTGACTTTGGTCAAAGTCAAACTGCTTTAAATTTGACTAAATTTATAGACAAATATAGTAATATTTATAATACTAAATTAGTTTCATTAAATCAATAATTGAATATATTTTCATAATAAATTTGTCTTGGTTGAAAATGTTATTATTTTTTCTACAAACTTAGTTAAACTTGAAGCAGTTTGACTTTGAGCAAAGTCAAAACATCTTATAACCTGAAACGGAGGGAGTATATCTTATGATCTACTCAGTTGAAACTCATTTTGGTAGAAAACTTAACAACTGAAGGAAATTAACACATCAATCAGGAATTCTCAGAGATCATACGAGAAACTTCATTCCATACAGAAAGATCACTTTGTTACTGCATGTTATCCTACTGAGAATAAGTCAATAAACTAACAAGATCAAGTTCCAGAAAGTTCAGGAGAATGCTTACAGATAGCAGCTGGAATCACTTCTAGCACAGGCTAAACAGAAAGCATGTTCACAAGGAATCTGAAATAAATAGGAAAAAAAAAGAGATGTCATAACACTATCGTAGGGTTCACCAAACATATAGTAACAAAAGAACTATATAAAGTTAATGGTCATGTCTATACTCTATAGCAGGCTAGTAATACGGGCAACAGGAAAATCATATATATTAGCTTCAAGCCTACAGAGACAAATATATAACACTGAAACTATCATGACAATCCTAGATACAGATGGTTATCAAATACAAATACTTTGCACACAATAAGTCTGTTTCACTTGCTTATGTCCTTGCCAAAGCTAGAATCAGACAAGCTTTCAAAAGTATCACTGTTAGCACAAAATCGCCAATACAAATAAATCCAAAAGCTCCGAATATTAAAAAATATGAAAGACCCTGTCACTATGGAAATAAGGTCATAACTAGATTTAGCAATGACTCCCACAGCATCAAGAATTCAGCATATTATCTATATTTGACATGCAAACTATGTAGAGTCCTCTAACCAAGTGCTACTCCTACCATATTAGTATTGTAGCAGAACAAAAAGCACAGCATTCATCTAAAATGACTTTGACCGGACTGCATGTCGCCCCAACTGTATCGAACCACTCCCAAATGGTCTTCTACCCAATAATTAGTGCTGCTTCCTGAATGATGGGTAAATGGGTAATCAGATAGCATCGCCATGTGGTTAATAAAACCTCTCTCTCTCTCTCTCTCTCTCTCTCTCTCTCTCTCTTTCTCTCTCTCTCTATATATATATATATAT